TATATCCTGATTAAGATAAAGTATGTCGAATGAAAGAGGGATTTAAATATTATTTCTCATAAAAAATTGTATTGATCCATATCAATACAATTACGTTAAACGTTCCTGGAGATATGATTATCCTTCCAAATTAGTATTAGTCTGCTGACTACTTCCCTCGCAAGTGTAATGCGACGCCTAATCTCCTTAGATGATTCGCCATCTGCTTGTACAATTGAACCTAAATATGTAAACTCATCCAATTTTTGGTAGCTGTTCAGTACATCGGTGTATGGTAGTACTCTCGCCTTTCAGTTCGCAGCGTTGTTCGATAAGATCAATGGTTTCCATAGAAAACCAGTAATTTTTCGTTTGATTTCTCGGCCGTTCTTTTATAACCTCGTTCTTGGTGGTCCTAAATATTTGATTAAGATTGTCCCAGTTGTAGATGGTATCTTGTCTAAGCTTTTTCTAAAGGATGGTTCCAAATCTTTCCTACTCCTTTTTGCTATTTATACGTTGGCTTAATTTATGCTGGGGTCTCTTGGAATCTTTCAGGTGAATCCGTAGCTTAGCCACAAACAGTTGTTGGTCTGATCGACAATCTACGCCTGGTCTTGTTTTGATGTTCTCAATACTGGATTTCCACCTTGATGGAATTAGGCAGTAATCAATCTAATTCTTGTACTTTGGTGAGGTCCAGGTATATAGTCTTCTTGGATGGTGCTTAAAAGGGAGTTAAGTGATAACCATGAATGTACTCTGGCAAAAATCGATCAGTTTTTTTCCGCTTTTATGCCTTACGCGGAGACCGAACTTTCCGGTTGTATTTGCTTCAGTGCAGCTTGTTCCAACTTTTGTGATGAAGTCACCTTGAATGATGGTGACTTCATTTTTTGGGAGGTGTGATACTCCCTCTGTTAAAATGTTGTAGAATTCTTCAATTTCTTCTTCTTCGGCAGCTGATGTTGGAACGTAGACTTTATTAGCATAACAAATTTAGTTTATTTGGCGTGGAATTGAGTTTTACCATAATTATTCTATCGTTGACTGATATATATTCTATAATTGAATGAGACTACTTTTTATCAACAATCACAGCCACACCATTCTTAGAGTTAGTACTATTTCCTGAGCACATGATCTGGTTTCTGCGATATTTTATAATGTTTTTTATCTTTCTGGTGAGTTTCGGATAAGCCTAGAATTTTAATATTACACCTTTCCATTTCTATTTCAATCTGACATAATTTTCCTTGTTGAAGTAATCCTCTGATGTTCCAGGATCCAATGAACTGTAGTTTGCGGATCACAACGTGGCTTGTAGCTACGCCCCCCCGAAGATCGAAAAATCGAGGCGCTTACTCCGGAATTTAATTTGACCGCAGACGACATCATGATGGGTTTTGTTGGGAAAGGGTTAATCAGGGTAGTTTCCCGTTGCTTTCCCTGATCGCAATAGCATATCTTATTTCTAAGGGATACTACTCAATCGTAAATAAGTAATTTACGCATGTTACTAATTGCGCTGCTTCTCACTAATAGGTCGATTTTAGTCGGTTCTTACGAAAGGTATGGACTACCGACGTTGTATTCTAATCCCCGTGGCAATAATTTTTTTGCAATTTTTCCGTAATTCTCCTTGAGTTAGAATTTTTCTTTTCAATAATCGACCAATTTCTTAAAATTAAACACTATCTACAGATTTGCATCGAAGCGTTTCTTATGATAGTGATTTTAATGACTGTCAGATATCATCTATACAAGTCCAACTATGCCACGCTCGCACTGTGCCGCGACCCCACTGTGTTACCGTTTTTTTAATACCATTTATTAAATTTCAAATTTATGGTACCTAATTTGTGCAAAAATGTCTTGTGCTTCCTATTATAAATTTATAAATACACCTCTGAATAAAGGATAGTTTGAAAAAATATTTAAAAACTTATAAATTGAAATATAAATATACTAAAAAATAAATTCTCAAAATTATTATTATTTTAAAAGAAATCTAGTGTTCAACAATAAATCAATCGCTCTGTGTATTTTTAAAATTATATTGTAATATATAAGAATTATATTTACTATTTCAAAGTTTGACACTGATAGTACTATCACGATAGACATTTTTTCTATATACCTATCGATTCTATTGAATATAGCATAAACTATTGGAAATGTTGCTATGAAATACTCATTTAAAATTTAAACACAACAAAGTAAATTTGTGACATTTAACTTTTTTTTTATTTCCTTCTGGCAAAGATAATGTAGCTTATGTAGACAAAATTGGCAGCTATATTACGTCCTGTTGCCACGTTAATGACCTAATATTTTGGCTGAAAATAGTAATTTTATTGATCCCTGCCGAATCTTTTTAACAGAAGATACCACCCAGTTTAAAACTATAGTATGACGTTTATGTTATAATTACATTTTAACGTGATATATTTACTTTTATATGAAATGATTTCATTATAATTATTCATAACATTTTTAAATTATATAATATTCTCAGCGTTATATACAAGTAAAAAAGCTATTGTACTAAAGTTGATATTTTAACGTGTAAAAATAGTTCACGTTATTTATTCGGTTATTAGGTTACTATGATTGCATTTAAAACTAAATTATAAAGTATAATATAAAAAAGGTTTACTATATTACTTTTAACTTATTCTTTTTAATGGTTTAATCTTGAGGTCTAGATTTTTCTATTATTTTTACAATATTGTCAATACAATATTGTTATTGAATTGTATTTTATCAATAAAAAAAGTTAAAAAAAATAACAGTATACCAGTTCAGCTTGTACTGGTACTAATATGTTACTTATCCTAATATTGCTATCGACTCATAAATTATTGTTATGAGAAAAATACTATAAACTGTTTACTTTAAAATTTAAATAAATTAAAAAGTAAAAATTATTTTTTATATTTTTATTAAAGAAAAATAATAAAAATATGCTTTTATCAAATTCTAAAACAGTAGAATTTATAAAAAAAAAAAATAACAAAATATTTGTTGGATCAAAAGTTATTAGTTTTGTCAAAAAATTGTGGACTATTTCTTTGTATATATTTTTAAAGGATTATATAGTATATCAAATATTCTAAAAAATTTTTCTATAAATTTTTAAAAATACACAGTAGTTTAGTTAATTATCGAGATTTAGAGGTTATACTGCAAACTTTTTTTTAAAGTGAATCATTTACAATATCCTGAGAAATATTCTGTTTTAAAATAAAAAATTAGGACTGAATAATTTATTATGAAAAATTTAATAACTATAACTTTTAAAATTATGTTCAGGGTATCAAAAAAAAAGGTTTTAATAAGAACATATTTAACTAATCCTATGATAACCTTTTAGATCTGTTAGATTTAAATTCTGTTAAGAGTCTAATTCAAAAAGTTTATTAATTTTTTAATGTTAATATTTTTTTAATACATGTGTTTATGCATAATAGATGATCGATTAAGGATAAGTCACTCATTTTTTTAAAAACTATTTTATAATCTTTTAAAGGTAAATGTTGTTTGATTCAAATTCTTTACAATAAAATGTAGTTAAATAATTTTTTTTTATCTCTTCGTGAATAAAAAACCTAAACTTTAATTTTCTTTAATAGGAATCCATATTTTTAATTATTGATGATATGATATGTTTGATATGATGAAAACAAAATTTTTTACAAATTTTATTTCATTAATCGATTCCGATTAAAAAAATATTAATGTTTAGGTTTTTTAACCCCAGAGGATTCATTATAAAGTTTACTGAATCAAACAATTTTTACCTTTACAAAAATTTAAAATATTTAATAGTTTCTGAAAATATGAGTGTCTTATCCTTAATAAATCATCCTGTAAGCATGCATATATACATACATATTTTTGAATGAAATTTGCTGTTACAATTGTAAATAGAGTGGTTTTGTATCTAAACAAAATGCATCTAACTTTATATTTATACCTTTGGTTTATAATTAATAAATTATAATATTATTCGATATGTTAATATTACTTATAAATTTTTAAGAAACACAAAACCTGTATTTATTTTAAAGTAAACGTCAGCTACTCGCTTAAATTATTATTGTAAACTTTTAATTTAATTGTAATTTAAGCATTTATAACTATAGATATATTTACTTATTAATTCATCTACTAGACTTTTGAAAAAATTTGCATTTGAAATAAAATCTCAATTTAAAAATATCATTATCAAGCTAAAAAATCAATTTTCATTTTAATGAATTTCGTTATAAGGCTCAAATGTTTATGTAGTAGTTCTTAAACTCTTGACTGCGCATCTGTAATCGGGACTTGAAATACATTAACCCATAATTATAAAGTCAACTCACCATGATAATACAGTCAACAAGATTTTGAACGTAACTTTATCTCATTTTATTCTCTATATATTTAATTCCTAATTGGTATATACGTAAACTTGAATATTTTTTGAGACGTATAATGAGTGTAATATAAATTATTTTGAGAAATAGTGCAATTTAAAAAAAAATAACTTTAAAAAGAAGGTATCAAGCTCAATTTTTTATGTTAATTAAAATTTTACATACTTAATGTGTTATTTATGCAAACGCTTAAAGAAAAAATTTATCTTGAACGAATTAAAAATAAGCGATGTATTTATATGAATTATGCTTTTTATAAAATTTAAAAAGTAGATTGTAGATTGAAAGTTAATATTTAGTGTATCATAGTTATATATATACATTTTTATTATTTTTATAACATAAATTGCCAATTTTTTTTTTACTAAATAACGTGTTAATAAAATTAAGTTTCTAAACAATATGTCCCCACATTTTTTATTAATTATCATCTTATTAACGATTTAATTAATATTAGCAATGAAATATATTTAAATTTATAGAGACCGTACATTTATGACTTACCCTGAAATAGATTTTGGAAGCTATTAGATGAAATGAAATATATTTCTTCATATTTTGTTATATCTTCTAATTTTTTAATTTTTAATTTTTTAGGGGATTTGGAAAACAAGGTTTCCAATGCCAAGGTAAGTCACAATTGAAAGTAAATATATTGAAGCAAATATAAATAAATAAATTAGCATGTATACATTTTTCTCATTAATATAGTTTATGGATTCGTTAAAATTTACATCGTATCTTAAATGTTTAGATTATAATTATGTTCATTCTGGATTAAAATATTTTTTAAAACGTTTGTAAATCACATGATTTTTTATTAAATTTCTGTTATAGAGATTTTAAATTGAGCCTATAACTGTTTCAAAGAGGTTTTACTCTTTTTATTACAGAAATTAATAAATCCATATTTTTTAACTAGAATAAGTAAACATGACATGATGTTATAAGATTACAAGAATTTTTAAAGTGCGTGTTAAACACGTGCTAACTCAGTTGGAGTAAAAGTCACATGTTGGGAATTATTTTTTATTATAAAATAAAAAAAAATTGATAAAATAATATAAATAGTTTTATTGTCAATGAACTTCTTCCTTTTTAATGGCTAAGCCTTGTCATAGCTTAGCTATATACTGGGAAATTAAGTGAAGTGGTTTCCTGTTGCCTTCTGCACTGGGAACATGGTGCTTTTTCGCCACCGTAGAAGCGCACGCATGGTCACCCATCCGTTTACCTTTTGTGGTCAGCGCGGCTGAACACTAAAGTTTTGTCAAGAACTAGTGTGACCATCGTGCCACACCACGCCCACTGTTAATGATATATTTCTTTATTACCAATAATTGTATGTAATTATACTATTAACATAATATAATTTTATTTTTACATACTCCATCACTGTTATTATTAATAAGTTTTGGTAAATCTTAAAAAAGAAAAAAATAATTTCTAATTCACGATTTCTATTTGTAGCTCAAATGAAATATAAATACAGATCCCTACAAAATCATTACGATTTTTGTATGTCAATATTTAAGTTTTCGATTTTTAAAAGTAAATTTTTATAGAAAATAATATAGCTAGATGTTTTTAGTTTCTCCTAATATTCTAGACAGGTGTTAAAGATATCATGCGCCATTGCTGCATCGCACATTTTGTACCTATAATATGTTATGTTAAAATTAAATACTTCAGCGATTTTATAATTTATGAGCGTGTACGATCTTGAGTTGAAATTTAATAACAACAATGCAAGAATTCATAGAATTCTAGGAATATTTTAGATGCATATTACAACTAGTTCTAATTAATAGATTAGCATAAGGTTTAACAAAGATAAAACATTATTTTTTTCTTTTCACTTTAATTTGTTTAGTTTTTCTTTGGCCTACGCGATATTTGTATTTATCCGAAGTAAGACATAATGTTCTGAAAAAAGTACCCTATCTTGGAAAACTCTCATGTGAATATCGCATTAATGTCACATAATATGTGATTATTATTATTACTATGTAAATTATTTATATATAAATATTATACAACATATTGATATATTATTTGTCTTGTAAATAATTTATATGATATAAATAATATTTTAAATTATTAAAAATATTTATTTTTTTAAATTTTACAATTTAAATAAATGCACTTCTATAATCATTTATTACTTATAATAAAAAAGATGAAATAGGTTTTATTTTTGGTCTGAATGCTTAAGAAAATTAATATTTCATTATAAAATGAAAGTTATTGTGTTAAAAAACTACATAACATTGAAATACTTGTATATTACTTGTAAAAAAATGACAATTTTTATTAAATGTAAGAATGGGTTGGCGAAACTGATATTATACTCATATGTTTCAATATAGATTTCCCATAGGATGTGTCACGGTTTGCCATTATTACACTACCCTCGTCTATAACCCAAAAAGCACAAGTTAATTCCAATTTGCATGAAGTATAATTGAACTTATGAGTTAATAAACATTAATTTTAGAATTCATGTTAAACATTTCTAATATTCTTTTAAAATAATCATAAACTTCAATTTACATGGTTATATGTTTAAAAGAAATTGGTACTTGAATTTTCATTTAAAACCGATAAGTCCTTTAAAACTCTTGGAAAAATGTTTTGGAAGAGTATGCTTTAATGATAGTGCAATATTACTTTTTATGGAATATTAATTTTTTGTAAGTTTCAAATAAAAACTAAGAATATATTTCATTAATTAGTACTTGTTTTCAAATACCCACATGGTATGCATTGAATCATTGTATTTTCTGTTTAGTAATAATATGGCATTGGCTATATTGTTATTGACACTGATGTTCGGTAGATCTATACTGGTATTTTTTTCAATTACATTTTATTATTTTAAAATGATAATAATGTATACTTACTGTTTGTTTAAAAATATCTAATGATAGTTTTACCTTTTTGTGTGTCTTGTTACTAATTGTTCGTTTAAAATATGGTTAATGTTATTTTGCTTAACAAATGAAACAAAGTCTAAAATGAAAAACTAAAATATTCAATGATTGGCTAGTTTTTAGTCGTATATATCTCATTAGTATTTTGCTTATAATGAATCTCATTAGTATGAAAACGAAATCTCAGAGAGTAGCATAAGCATAATTTGTTGTATGATTTTTTGTAACACCTTGGTTGGTTTGAAACTAATGATCCAAAAATCTTAAGATAGTCTTTAAATTTTTATTTAATACAATTTTCTAATAATATTTAAAAATAAACTATAAATATCTTGAGAAATTTTTATAGAGTAATTTTAATGTTATTTTATTGGACAAAACTTGATTTTTTAATGATATTTAGTTCTTTGTCAATAACTAGAAAAAAATTAAAAACTTAATAAATTTTTCTTGGAATAATATATTTCAGATTTTATATTAATTTTATTAAATGTATGCATAAATATAATAAAGTATGAGTATATTAATACTCGTTTTTCTAAATTGGGAATTAAAAATATCATTTGAAAAAATATTACATTCTATGTATAAAATCTAATACAAACTAAATTAAAGAATGAATGAATTATAATAATCAATATTTAATTTCCATTACCTTGTTTAAAATATTGTACATTTTTAAAATATTTATTGTGTTTATAAATAACATCAGTAGTTTAATTTAAAGTTATTATTAGTTAATCTTCGTATAAAATTATATAACATTTCTATGACGCTACTTCATCGTGTCATCAAAATAAATCACTCAATTTTCCTTGTCTTTAATTTGATTTATTTACTCTTTCTCAAAAGTAATTTTAATTATCATTAAAAACAGATTTTGAAATCATATTATAATTTGTTAATTTTTATTTCAAATTTTCTAGAAAATTTTTAAGTTTATACTCTATCAAATAATGCACATAGTAATTTTCATATGTTAGTTTTATATGTTTAATAATATTTTAGTATCAATAGAAGGCAACAACAACAAACAGAATGAAAAACAGGAAATGTATAGTATTATTTATTTTACGGTTGACTTAACAAAATATCTTTCTATGCAAGTAGGTAGATAAATGAACATATAACTGTTAAATCCGTGAAATTTAATGTGTAAATAATTCAATTATAGCATGAAAAATTTGTTTAGTTTAAGACATGATAATAGTCTAAATATTTTTAAACATGATCCGATATTACGAATAATATATTTATTATAATTTTCATTAAAATTAGAATATAAGACTTGTACTTTAAAGCTAACGATTCAATTATATTTTATTAAAATAAAAGTGAGCATATAATAAAGTTACTATATAGAGATAACTTAAAATTATAATGAAATTTTAAGTCTTTAATAATAGTTTAATATTTAAAACAATTTTCCATACTTTGAATTTATCTGCTAATAAATTCATCATAATGAAAATACTAGTAAAAAGATAATTATAAATCGATGATCTAGCGCACAACAATTAAGTAATATTTTTGACTAAATTAGTTGAAGCATGGAATAAAAATAAAAAATTCAGCACAGAGGGGTCGCGGCACAGTGGTGACGTGGCATAGTTGGACCGGTATAATGATATCTGACAGTGATTAAAATCACTATAAAAAAAAAAACGCTTCGATGCAAATCTTTAGATACTGTTTAATTTTAAAAAATTGGTGGACTATTCCAAAAGCTACATTATCTGCTAGTTCATTATTAATATCCTAATTAAGATAAAGTATGTAGAATGAAAAAGGGATTATTAAAAAATATTATTTCTCATAAAAAAATAATGTTGATCCATACACTTTTCAATATGTCATAGCATTATAAAGTTAAAAATGTAAAAAATAAAATCCAGAAATTTCACACAATAATAGCATTCGGTAGCCATTTTCACCGTGAAGATAAAATAAAGTCCGAAATTTTTTTTTCGCATAATAAAGTAAATTACATTAGCTTTAATTTAAGATATATATAAAAGTGTCAGACTTTCCGGAACACTTTCAAAATTAAAGTTGAAAAAGTTAATTTTTTTTGAAAAAGTTATCATTTTAAATCCCCCCTTGTGGGCAGGTTAAGGGTTAAATTTATGAAAAAAATATACCAAACGAAAGGTAATGATATTACACATCTATATAAAAAAGAATTATATATATATTATTATTATATTATATATTATTTATTAGTTCATTTTTTCATAACTATTCTTCCTCTTTGTATTAAACCAGAAAAATATTATAACCACATTATTATTGTAAAAATGGAAATTTAATATTTATGAAATAAATTAAAAAACACATCTAAAAATTAAATGCGGATTTAAATATAATCGATTAGTATTTATAACTATACTAAATGCTAGATTAATAAAATTAATTAATAAAATTATAATACATAGATTTAGATCAATTAGCTGGTCTATCTAAACTATACCTTATGAAGAGGTTTTCATTATCCCCTGTGAAATCGATCATATATATATTTAATGCTGCCACAGTACATTATAGAATATTTCAAATCAAGTTTATTTGTTTCTTTTAATTGAAATAGATATCACATAAAATTTTACTTATTAAGAGAAGTTATTTTTAAATCTGTGGAATACATAGCTTATTATTTATAATACCTCGATTAGGAAGGATATCCAATAACAGAACCTAATTAAAAAATTTTTTATTAATATTTATCACTACATAATCGTTTTGAGAGATGACGAGTGGTCTATTTACAAGGCTGATAAGGGTTTTCTCTAGGTGTATTAAATAGACAAACAAAAATTCCCTGGCCTAAATTAGAGGTCCATAATTTTTTGGACAAAATCATAATTTAATAACAATTAGTAAATAACAAAATAAATATTTTTTAAATTTAACAATTAACCTTAGAATTTTATAATGATTTACTTATATTTATTTACTGTCTTCAATTTTTTCTTTTTCGTTCATTATAATTTACTAAGTTTTGTCATTTTTGAACCAATCAAGAGATGTCAAAGTACAATAGATTGAAATCCCAAAATTTTTTTTTTTTTTTTTTGTGAAAGTTTAACACAACCCCAAATGTGAACTCCAGACTTGTAGAATAAGTGATTTGTTTAGTAATGTTTTCTTGTTTAATTTTAGTTTGGAGAGGAAAGTAAAAAATAAATAAAATGTATTTAAATTGTATATGTTGTCCTTAATTTTCGAATAAATGAATTCAAAAATTTTTCGAGTAGTATATTATTTTTATAACTTTTAACTTTTAGCTTTTCAGAATTAACTGTATTTTACGCAATACTATTCATAAGTAAGCTTCATTATTCTTCATTTTAGTTTTATACTTTATGTAAACTATAATTGCATTATGTACTCTCAGTTAGCATTTTGTATTTATTTATTTGAATATAACCTAAAATTCGTAAAAAAAAAATAATTCAAGCAATTATACGGAGTAGCTGTTGTTGCAAATAAGCTTCGAATGAATTGTACTTTAAAAATTGTTTATACAGAAAAGTTTGAAACGACCAATGTACTTTTCTGAATAATTTGAAACAGTTTTAATTTAACTTTTATGTATTTTACACAACATTTTCTGAATTATTATTATTATTAATAAAAGACCTAGTGTATACACAAATAGTTTTCTAAGAATATAGCGTGTCAATTTTCTTTTAAAATGTTGGAATTGTGTACACCATTTAGATAAAGAGTTACTTGAAGTAAAAAAACATGTTTAAATATTTAGTGTTCTTTATAGTTAAATATTGTAAAAAGTGTTCCAAAGAGAGTAATTTCATTATTTATTTATTTATTATTCTTTTAATTTTTTTAAGAATTATAGACGTATTTGTCATTTTTATTGATCTATTATTTTAGTTTTGGATGGATGATTTGGCTATTTTTATCTGGGTTCCCTTTTTATAATATCATATTTACACGTTGACATAAATCTATAATCAAGTTTTGACTATGATTTAACTTTTAACATTAAAATTTAACCTATTGTTAAATAAATTGAAAAAATATGCAAAAAATTAATAATTTGATTCATATTATTATACTTAACATGTTTAAAAATCTGTTCGTTCTTAAGTGCATAAGTGCAAAAGTAAATTGGTGTAAATTTTTTTTTTAAATCAATGAATTTTAGTTTATTAAGGTCCTGTGATTTTGCTTAAAATTTTGGATAGTTTCTAATTTTTGACTGCCTCTTTCTTCATTTAACTTACAAACTTATTTTACACGGGTTGGTATTAATACTAGGGGATACAATATTTTTTCGATTTAAGTAGTTGTTTATGTATTGAATAACTATTAACTTAATAATAAGTTATCAGACTAATTTTTTCTTAATAGTTGGCTGATTATGCATATCATTATTTAAAATATTTTATGTGCTTAATTAATACTATATAATAACATTTATATAATAAACGGTTATTTATATTAAAGATTCTACAAAAGTAAAATTGATTGTACATTTAATTTTTTATCATAATTGTTAATTATTTAATCATAATGGTTCTTAATTAAAAATCGGTAAAAGATTGTAGGGGAATGAAACATATTCAAGGAAAACCTAATACTGTAAACTGTCATTTTTTTGTTTGTACGTTCACCAAACCTAGATTTATTAAATTATTAATTTCATTGCAATCAATAGAAAAAGTTATCGATAGTTACCAAGGTGCACTGTCATATTACTAAGTTATGTAGATTTTCCACCCTCTCTGATACACACAATATTTTTTAAGAGAGGAAGTTAAACATTAATAAATAAATAAAAATATATATTATATTATATGCAATATTATTAAGTATATGAGGTAATGAAGTATACTGATTTTTTTAAAATTTAAAACCACCACAAAGTGTTTAAAATAAATCTATTTAATAAGATATAATATCGTGGAAACATTCTGTGTAAAAAGTACTTTAGTCCTTTGATCAGTTCCTTTTGTATTTGAAAAATTACCTAAAATCGCTCTAGGTGATAATTTTGATATTTTTCTAATAAAATGTAAAGCTGTTTTATTAGATATAGCAATATACGTTTAATAAGTGCGTTTGACTCTCCAGACCTAATGCATTAGGTATTACAATACTTATATAAATAAATGTTTTGCTATAAATTTATGTTCTTTAATTCAAGTTTATATTTAAATTAATGATAATAACATTATTTACAACTATATTTTGAAAATATTATTGTTTCAAAAATGTTGAGTTACAGATTTTTGAAAACTTAAAAATTTACATCATTCACTCCCATTTTTAACTTTTATGCTCGTTAAAAATAAAATAATGCTAATTCTGTTTTCAAATTGTATACACTTAATAATTTACTTCAGTTAATCATTTTTGTTTCTTACAGCATATGCCTGCATTTTAATTTACGAGATATAGAATTGTAAATTGTTACCCGTGTTCCCTTATTCATTGAAATATGAATTTTAAACTATCTACAAGTGAGTCGTGACTCAATTTTAAACATCATCTAACGCATTTCAGTCTCGTTATTTTCATAAATTAAGAAGTTTTGTTTATATTTCTTTCTATTGTTGTTTAGACGATTATTTAAACGACCTGTGGAATTTTGTGTTTCATGACAGTTATCTTGAAAATGCTAATTTTATATGAATTAAGTGATATAATTATAATTCCCCGAGTTAAATAGAAGTTATTGCGTTTTGGCTATAGAACATTTTTTTAAGGTCAAATGAATATAATGTAAAAGTGAATAGAATTTTAAAAATTTGATTTTATGAAGAAACTCGTATCTTGTTTACCAAAAATTTTATCACGTACTTAGTTAATTTTTTATCATTTGTTATTAAACTATTTTATTCTTGATTTTTAAAAATGTTGTGTGCATTTAGTAAGTAATTTTTTTTTACTGAGTAAAATTGATACGTTAATTATAATGGGAAATCATTAGAGTTTGCCATCCTGATGCTCCTATTTAAATGTAGATATTTTGTAGCTGAGGTATATTAGATGACAAAGTTTCGGCATTACGTTTTTTTGTAAAAAAATTATATGTAATTTATGAATACATTAGGTTTGACACAAAACGTTAGTAATTATTAATATTTTACTCTGTTTAATATGAAAAGTCATATAAAATAGTGTTGGGTCACTTTTTGCTCATATTATTTATTTGTATATGTACACATTGTAATTTTTCTGAATTTTGAAAAATTTATCATAAATATAATGTAATCATAATCATAGTAGTAATAATAATGAAATACAATATTTAGCATATTTATTCTTTTTTAGCTGTTATTTGATGGCCTTACTAAAATTTACAATTTTTTTAATGATTAATACTATTCATTCTTGTTCATTTCGATTAATTATATATTTTTAGTGTTGTTATTATAACTTATACTTCATTATTTTTTTTTTACAGTATGCAGTTTTGTGGTGCATAAACGTTGTCACGAATTTGTATCTTTTACATGCCCTGGAGCAGACAAAGGTCCGGATTCAGACGTAAGTAGCTTATCCTGCAAATATATTTGTTTTATGAGTTTCAATCATTTTTTAAATGTATTTGATTAAATTTTTCTTTGGGCAATTTCTTGTATAATTACAAAAAATCTATAAAACAATTTTGAGTGCAGGACGACCATACGTTCGGACAAGCTATTATTTTCTTGTTTAGTTATTATACTTAAACGTTGTTTAGAAAATGGGTCGATTATTGAATAATCACAACATCCATTTATCATCCTGTGTTTATGTTTTATTAATCATTTTAAATGCGTACCCTTCATAGGTCATGGGTATGATTAAAGTATATAGTAAACTGTAATCCGCTTTGTACGGCACTCTGTATAGGCAATATCGATACACTGCTGCGTTGCCTGTCAAACTGAAAGTATTTTTTGCTCTAACACATTACTATAGTGTTACTTATTTACTCTACGAATTTATTTTTTTCTTGTGGAAAACATTGGAAATCCTCTCAATAAACATTATTAAGTCATATGTTGTAGAGTAACTAGGGTAAATTATTTTTTGCATAAAAGAAGCTGTTTTTAAGCAATATTAATTATTGTATATGCTGACTACTGCATCACTTATCCGTTCTAAGTGGTTATATTTTTATTTTAAAGAAGGGTCAAAAGTACAGGAACTGGGTCAAGTCTTTGGTGTATAGTAGCGCTCGTTAAAAAGGTGTAAAATGCCGTTGGCTTCTGCGAAACATATACGGGTACGTATTACATGCTCACCGAAAGCTGTTGTAGGAGCGATCGATGACTGCTGGTCGGTCTACGTTCAACAGATGGTACTTGTATCTAACATTTTTGTAGTGACGATACTGTTGTGTATAATATTCCTAATGTATTTTGAGTGGCGCCACTGGTACTGTTACACTGGAGTGAATTTTGAGTTCCTAAGTCAACAGTTTAGCGTTTCTTTACTTAAGCTATTTTTGATACAAGTTTGATGTGAGATAAAATTCTCGTCAATTATATAATTGATTTATTAAGTGTATATACTCTAAAATAGAAATATCATATATATTCAAATAATTAACTTCTATTGTTAATATGAAAGTTGAATTTTTTTAAATTATCATAATTTTCGATTAAGTCTCTAAAACTTGTTTATTTATTAAATATATATATAATAATAATAATAATAGTAACCATGTACAGTATTTTACTAGAAAACTAGTCAAATTAAAATTAATAAATTAAACCTCTTTACGAAAAGCTAAGATTTCCTTTAATTAATTGATATGTATCGATTTATATTACATATTAAATTATCAATATCAATTGATGGTTTTCTAAAAAGTGTCGGATAAGTTAATCAAAATGTAAAGTAATACAAGGATAGTATGGTACTATAAAACGTGTAAATTTAGTATGAAAAAAACAACATAAAGAGTTTGAAAAAAGCAAAAATTATTTTTAAGGAAACTTTGTTTTAAGGATGAGTGGTGTATTTCAATAATAATAAAATTCTATATACTCCAAGGTTCCTTTATTGGACTATCTCATTTAATATAATAATCCTTAATTAATAAACATCATTTTTTTTATTGTTTATAATTAATTTTTTTAACAATGCACTTAAGTTTTACGAGCATATTATAGTATTTCTTTTTTCATTAAAATATTTTGTTTATACATAAATATTTTATGTCTACAAATTATTAAGTACATTAAAATAAAACTTTTACACCTTTTAAGCAAAATTTAAACTAAGTAAATATATTTTTTTTGTAGTAAAGCGTTGTACTATTGTAATAAATGCAATCGTAGTATAATAACTTTCGGCTTACCAACCGAGCATAATTAAATCAATCGCTTAGTATCTAAGTGGTTATTTGATCGTTTTAGTGAATTACTCTACAAAAATAGAAATATTTTAACTTTATTTATATGAACTTTATAAAAGTTTCAGTTAAAATCTGTAAGTTTAGTTTTTTACATTTTTTATTTTTATAAAACTTGCTTAACAATAATTGAGATTTAAAGTTTTAAATAAATTAATAAAAAGATCTTGTAAAATCTAGTAAAACTTCTTATTTTTATTTTGTTTTGAAAATCTATTATAGTTTTTATTTACTTTAAGATTTTTTTAAGTATAAAAGTAATATATTTATGGATAAAAACTTTGAGTTACTTTGAGTATGACTTATAAAGAATACTAAATATCAATGTATTGTAACTCAAAAATTTAAAAATAATATTTGATACAATGTCATTGTCACGTTCTTAAACTCCGATTATTTATTTTGAAGTCAGTAATATTTTGATTGAGGTTGAAACTGTAAGCCAAAAAGGTTTTTGGTTATTATTTATTTATTTATTTATAATTCATCCATATTTCACTGAATTCCTTGTATGAATCAACAAACTGCAATTTAATGTATGCGATTTCACATTAAATATTGGAAATGTAATATTATTTTTCACGTAAATCGATCATGATGTCATTTTATTTGTTATAGACCGAGTGCAAACTTATTTAAACAATTTCAGAATTTCAGTAGACTTAAAAATATCGACAAGAAGTTCGCAAAACTAAGAGTTTCGTTATGTTTTTTAAATGATTTAATTCAGGAAAATATGCTAAAGGGGGTCATGAATAATCAAGTTAGTTGCTGGACTGGTACACGACTAATTTGAAGTTCCTGTAAATATTAGCTTTGCATTGCAGTATTAAGCGACATCATCTTTACAGTTATTTTAAGTAAACAGAAATCGATTTATAGTATGAACGCTTACAGCTAAATTTTAATAAAGACTGACTGCTCCTTTACAATATTTAATTATTATTCCTCTACATGTTGCTAAAACCAAATTATATTACGTGTAGGTTATGTACCCTAAGCTAATACAATCGTACGTCTGTATCCGCTACTTATAGTGCATGGGAACAATACATATATATTCTTCGACAGAATGATTCTTTTAACACTAGTTACTTCTTAAAATAATAATTACGTTAAGAATATTATTTTTGGTATTTTTTAGTATCATTATTTCTCAATTTATCAGTTATTGATTACTTTTTTAGTTCATCCCTTATATCTTATATAAAGGATGAACTAAAATGAGTGTCAACTTTATTTTTTTTAATGGAAACATACATATTTAACTAGCTTATAAAATAGAAAATGATCGAATTATGAAATTACTGGTCTATAACAATTCTTTTGGACCAGTAAGTTATCAACATTTTTATACCTAAACGGAAGGAGCGTTGCAGTTGAGAATGTCTAATGATTGATCCGTTATATCCATGCCTCACCTCTAAGCTATATTTGAAAATAGTAATAATTTCCAAAGTAATGAAAAGTAAAGTTGTTATCGTTCAGTAATTTCCTTAATTAGATCAGTTTTTATCATAAATAGTTAAATATGTATGTTTTCATTAAAAAAAAATAAAGTTGTCACCCTATAAGATTTTGATAAAGCAATTAACAACTTAAAAATCAGAAAATACATGAAACTAAAAAATACCAAAGATAATTTTTTTACCATAATTGTTATTTTAAGAGAAATCGAATGACTTTCCCCCGTAGTTATTATTCATAATGTCATGATTTATTTATAGTATTCATTTTTATTAAGTTCGTCAGCCTTAGTAAATATTACTTAATATAATGGCTTTTGTCAATTTTGGTAAAACTTTAAATAATTTATCTTGTACAATTTTCTTATGTAGTCTAGTCTCGCAAGTGGTATGATAGTTGGGCAAGGTAAAATATATGGTGCTTTCTTCTTTTCAAAAAGCAGTATAACTTTTACAATATTTATGAATGATTGTCATAACGTGACATGGCGTTTTTGAAGTTGCTCTTGATCCCCGTTAACAGTATTATTTTTATATAGGTCATTGAAAAATTATAAATGTAAAGTTTGGTTTGTCTTAATGGTATTTAAATTAATATTTTTAAAATTTTTAAATCTGTTTGAAGTTCTAATATTAATCAAATATAAAATTATGTTAAAACTTATTATCCTAAAACTTTTAATATTTTTTTTATTGATATAAATTTGATATATCAGGTGATTAAAAAACAGAATTTTATTTCAAATTGATTTTTTTACACTATTTTTAATTTAAGTGAGGTCAAGTTATTTTTTCACATACAGCACTTGAACAATTTTTTTTCAGCTAACCCCTTCTCCCGTGAAAGAGTTAGGCTTTACCAGGAGCGATTATCTGGTGATGCTTCGGCAAATTATCACCAGAAAGTAAAAATTTTACCTCCCAAACTCGAATTTTATATCTGCTTTAACTCAGCGACTAACCAACGTAGCCAAGATCAGATTCTTTCGCTAACAATTTTGGATTTAGATCCTCTAAGTGATACGCCAGCACTATAAGTAAAATCTCTTCCAAGGAACTTTCCTCAATTTTAGTCATGAACTGTCAATAATCATTTGAATTTGACTTTTTTCATTTCAATTGCCATGTTCACTTGATTTTTAAAAATAAAAAAAATAAAAATGCTTTCAAGTGTAGTGTGATGATATTTTTATATTAACTAATTGTTATATTACATTGTTTAAATTATTTATAATGTTTTATTCAATCGCCTTTTAATTTATATAAAATAAAATGTGTTTTTACTACAAAAAAAAAAATTATTTTAATTAATAATTAACATAAAAATATGAAATGAAGTTTATTGTTTTTAAATCTTATTTATTAAAGTATATAATTTGTTAACCTATTGTAATGTGTAAAATGAGCAAAAAGTATGATAATGCAATGCGTTTTAACTTCAATTAAGTATTGAAGAATTCTGTGAAAAAATTAGGAATTACTACTATAATTTTAATTAATTGACTAAGTCACTCAGAAGTTTTCATTTTCAGGTTTTAATAAATTAAATGGGTTGTAAAGAATAAACATAAATAATTATTTTATAACTTGAAACTATTTATAATTTAATTCTTTATATTAGCCAAAAATTGAATTACTTTATAAAAAATATATTGTAACATAAAGCTATATTAGTTACACATAAATATTGATATTAAACAAATAAAAGGTTATTTCTCCATAATAATTTGTTACCTTTAATTTTAATACATAATTATTTTCTCTGGCCAGTCTTCCAGGACAAAGCACAAGTTCAAAGTGCATTCCTACGCTAGCCCGGCATTTTGCGACCATTGTGGTTCGCTATTGTATGGTGTCATACATCAGGGAATGAAATGTGAAGGTCAGCAATTCTGAAACGCACATAATATATTTTCTTATTTTTCATAATTTATTCTTTTTCTCATGTTTATTTTTTATTTTTAAATTTCATCTTCGTTTTTCTACAGCAGTACTCATATGTGTTTGTATTTTCTTATTGTTTTGGTTTGTTCTATACCTGAATGCCTGCCTGTGTTCTCTATATTTTATTTTAATCATTCTGAATAACATTTTAATACAATTATTGTTTTAACTATCCAAAATTAACACTGTTTTAATGAATCTTAATAAATATTTAGATGTTTACGAAAATACTTTTATTTCACATCGTTTCTATCTATTTAAAATTAATTACCTAAATTCATATAATTGGTGTAATGATAAAATGAATTGACTATATATACCTACAATGCTTGCACTAAATTTTCAAATATAATAGCATAGATAACTAACATTAATAAATTTTAACATAAAATTTAAATATTTGATGACATAGTGTAATAGACTATCGTTGGTTGTTCTTATTAACTATGAATACATTTTCTTGATGTTCACTGTCCCCCTTGTTATTCTTGCTGTGTTTTTATGTGTAATGAAATTCTTGTGAATGTTTTCAAAATTTGAATTATCTCTTATATAACAGTCCTTGCCATAATGATTAGCCGCAAGCAAATTTTTGTCAGCATGCTATTCTGCTATTTCTTCTATTATGATACAAGTACTTTTACAACTTAGTATTTTTTATAATGATACTATATATAATAAGTATAAATATTAGATTCACAATTACAAATAAAAATAGAGTTAAGGAATTTTCACTTTTTTTTTCATTTATATTTTTCTTAAGATTAATAATAGTAATCACTTACCATAAAATACATTTTATGACAAAAATAATCTACCATATATGAGTGAAAAAATATAATGAAATAATTTTTAGTTACTTTGCTGTTGAGTTTAAACGCTGAAAAAATTGTTTAAATTTATAAAATATATTTTATGATTTTAATAAAATCGTTATAAGATTTTATATAAATTTTTATAATATAAGTTTTATTTTGTTCATATAGAAGTATAAACAATGAGTAAAGAATAATAATTATAAAAAATGATAGCAACAAAGTTAAATTTATTCTATTATAACTAAAGATCTTCTTAAAAGATATAAATGGTTTGTTCCCTGAATTGTTGAAAAAATTAGACTTTGTTACTTGAATGTTTAAGCAATAACAGGGACGGACTGGCTTAATTTAACAGTCTTCTCCTGCCATCTAACTTCTATTTTAGTTAAATTATATAAACTGTATCATTTCAAAAACTTTTTTCATATTTTACATTAGATTAATTACTATGGGCTATAATTAGTGAACGTGCTGTTTTTTTTAATAAGTAATGAACAGTCGATTAAAATTATTACTTCTAATTCATCTAAAAAATTAAAATTTTAAAACTTACGACTTTGTTTTATTGATTTTTTTATTTTTAGTTTATAATAGATAATCAATAAAAATTAAAAAGCTTTGCATAATGTTTTGTTATTTGTATTGACCCATTAAAAATTATTTAATACATATAAATAAAAAAATATAATTTTTAACAGTATATTTAACAATTGAGTTGAATAAAAACTTTTATAACAGTTTTTTAACAACTTGGAAACTTATTTTCTTAAAAGCAATTTCTAACATTAAAAAAAAAATAATAATAATAATACATTCCAAAAATCGAAATACTAATGCAAATTAAATATATTTACTATTTAAAATTTATCTATTTAAATTAATAATCTTTATTTATTTTTATATCTTATTAACTAGATATATTCTTTATATTTTAAATGTTACTCAAAAGTCTAATTGCTAATGAAGTCTATGCTAAACGCGTAGATGTCGTTGTTGGGTATTTACCAATCCAAAATAATCCAAAAACAAACAAATAACAATAATTACGTCACGGTCGACCGTTATCCAAGTACTTAAATTACCACAGTCGTATCATAAAATTCTTATAATTTCATAATGTAAGTTCTTCTACAATTATTTTTTTTAATCAATTTTGAAATTTTAATCATTCGAATAAATGTCTTATATTAACGCTTTCCATTCTTCAGTGCTCACAATTAAAGCGTCCCTTCGGCATTTTCGAATTCGACTTAATGGAGACGCTAGATTGTACTGCAAACAAGAAGAATACTCCGTTCCCCTCCGTCCAATCTTTTATTAACTACCACATATATTATTATATAGTTACGATATGTAGTTGAATACTTAACCAAATATTTAAGTATTGTTAGCCTTATTGTTATAACTTGAATATTGAATTAACACCAATATATTCCACAACTTTATAAATCATTTCTGTTCGTGGTAAAATTTTCCCGGGAAAATAATAACAGGAAATCGAATCACCATGGTTACATCATCACGCGATGCGCCATCCATTTCATGGGACTTCCCTTAAAAATATACATAATACATCATTCCTTGTAAAATACAGATTTATATAAAAACTTTGATACGATTACTATTAACGGAGATCAAATTATATTATTTATAAACTAATACTGTTACACTATTACAAATATTTTTTATTTTAATTTGTTTGTTTTTATTCCTTTATTTAATTTTAATCTGAATAGTCGTGGTTATTCCGACGTATGGCACGTTAAGTGCGTTACACTTAAAATCTATGCATTTTATTATACTGCTTTTTGGACAATAATTTTATTGTAAAGAAGATAAAGAAAATAAAATAAAATAATTAACTTAAAATATTTTTAAAATTTTCATTTTTATAACTTGTATTCCAATTCTATTATCTTGATGAACCGATATATCTAGGCTGAAATCGCAAAACATCAATGGGAACTTCACACGTATATCACACCTTCTTTTTGCGATCATTGTGGATCTATGTTGCACGGCATTACCCATCAGGGTCTCAAATGTACAGGTTAGATTACTACTAAGTCAATAAAAAAATTGATGTAATTTGTCTCGAAATTTTAATCATAATTTAGTTATTAATAATAAACAGTTTTTCGTTTTGATTAATTATTATTAATAAAAGAAATAGTATGCATCTTTATATATATATATATATATAATGCATATTAAATATCTCTTTTTAACTTTTATTTTTGCTTTAAACTAGAGCTAGAGATATAGTGACAATATCCTTAAATACCATTGTAAAACAATTATTATTTAGAATATAAATAGTGATAGTGAAATAGAATCAGTTAGAAATTGCATCAAAAATAATAAAATGATCAAATGTATCTTTGCAAATTATTTGCTGCAGCGATTCAATTCTGTTTTTGCTGTTTCTATCTATAGATGAACGTATCTCACATTAAAAAATAGCCGTCTCCCTTATAGCTATAGGAAGGTTATTCAACACTATTTTCAAACTGATACTTAGGTAATGAGCAGTCAAACTCTATTTCATTAAATCCACGATACGTTTTGTTAGATATTGGCTTTTTTACTACTATAATAACTAATTTTTATAACATTGCATGAAATAATTAACATATTAGTTTATACTTTATTTTTATGCATGATTACATTGAATTATATCTTTACCCTTGTCACTCTATTTTTTCGATCGTTAATCATGAATGAAAAGCTATCTAATTTACTCTTCTTTTCATTTACGTTCTATAATTTTCAATAAATATATCGTATTGACAAACAAATCATCCACTTACTGTACATTTTTTTTTTGTTTTCACATTTCCAAACTAGCATGCGATATGAACGTGCACAAGAGGTGTCAGGAAAGCGTTCCAAACTTGTGTGGATGTGATCATACTGAACGTCGAGGAAGAATAGAAGTTAAAGTCACGTGCCAAGGAGTAAAACTTATTGTTGAAAGTAAGTTTATTGGGTTGTTCAATAATTTGACTTTGAATCTAAAATTTGTCAACGCTCCAAACAATATATTATTTAAAATACATTTGTATCTAACACAATATGCTATTTAACTGTACATTAATTCCATTTTACATGTTAAAGATATTGTTTTACATTTGTTTAAGGATTAAAGTTAGATCTTTGTTTTTGATTTTTTAAATTAATTACCAATGTCTATTAATATTTGTCTACAGTTAAACGATCATAAAATTTGTTACATAATGATTTTTCCCTGACATTATTTTAATTAATATTGGTAAATCATGTAAACAAACATTTTTTTTTTACCTCTTACTCATTGTGTAAAAAATAATAATTACACGAACATTAAATAAAAATAAATAATTAATATATTATAAATAATAACACTTATGAGTAATTTTAACTTTTTTTAATAAAAGTTAAAAATAGGGAAATTGTAGTCACTTTACTCATTAAAATATTTTCAAAAGAAAATGAAAAATGTCATAAACATTTAAGACATTAAAAGTCCTTTTAAAATAAAAATATATCTGCGAAGTTAATGCATTTAAGAACACAAAATCAACATTAAGAAGTCTTAAATTGTTAGATATCATAAACTGTATTCTTATCCTCGATTTCATTTTAATCCCATTTCCTTTTATTCTACTCAGATTTTGTCAATTATTTTAAGTAGGTGCTGCAACAATGAAAATTGAATTCTTCTAGATTTTTATATTATTATATTATTATATTTTTTTATTTTGTTATTTTGTATTCTATTCAAAGATGTAGAGTTATTGTCTGTTTTTTTTTAATTCTTAAGCTTAAAAAAATTATTTATTAAATTTAATTTTAAATAAAAATAAAGTTTTTATAAATTATTTTTGATGAATAAAATAATATCTCCATTTTTTTTCGTTTATATAAAACAAGTATGATTTTTAAAAATATTCAAACAGTATTAATATAAGACTTTTATTTTTTTATCTCGGTTAATAAATTTTATATAATGTGAAAACTAAAAATAAATAAATTATGCTAAAATCATATAGATTATATGTATTTGCCCTATTGTGAAACACGGAAAAAATTAACATTAGTTTCATATCCTATAAGCGTATTTCAATTAAAAATATATTGAAGCCTTAAAATTTTTTCATTTTTTTTTTCAAATTAATATGAACCAATTTTCAGTATTTTATTATGAAGATTTAATAATAAAAATTTTTGATTTGATAAGAATAATTGAATACTTACATTCGATAGTTTTTTATGTATATAAATATTCAGCTAAAAAATAATTGATATTGAAAATGATTATAGTTTTGCACTATCATTGTTAATGATTGTATTGAATCACCGTTTTTGACAAATCTGTTAATTATTCAATTAATATATTGTGTTAAGATCTACTTAGGTATTATATTTATTTTTTTGCTTTTTTAAGCCCAATATAGGCCATAGCGGCCTCTCCCAAAGGAGAAGAATTCTTAACCATTAATACGCTGGGTTAGGTAGTTAATCTGGCGACGGATTAACCACCTAAGTTATATCTACTTGAATAATCTGAAACAAATAGAGCGATACCTGTTGAGTTGTATCAACAGAGATTTACTATTCGACCGTAAAATATTATTTTCCGAGAATATTATGAATAAATTAAAGCTTCTGTTAAAACTGAATGGTGGTAAGATTTAATAATTATTATTTTATTAGGATTACAAAATTTTTGATGAAATCTATCAAAATTTATACAAATTTATGGAATTTGTATCTATTTCCTTAGAATTACATGTATGGTTACTGTAGATAAACCAATCACACAAAAAATCTTACTTAATATTAAATTAAGATATCCCTTTTTAAGTTTATCTATCTATAAATTTAACTGTTTTTTTAATAAAGGCGAAAAAAGGTTCCAAGTTTACGTACCACCACTTACCACGTAATAACAGTAGTATGGTCAAATTTTATATTCAAGTTCAATCCGAGTATTCTTTTCGTCTCTAAAGATATGTAAAAATAGAAAATACATAAAATTTATGTAGGGTACCTATTTGACCTTCATATTCGATTGTTGGGTTAGGTTTTCTGTCTCTAGAGACAGATTTAAGTTTAAAAGTATACTTTTTATTTTTATGACTTGATATATTCAAATAATATCTCTTTCAATAAATAGATGATATTTAATCCACTTAAAAAGAAAAAAATTAATTTGGTCATTATACAATAAAGAACCGGTTTTTACAAAAAAAAATCACTATAGTAAATTAGTTAAATATATTTCCTTGATTTTCTTTGGAAGTATAAATTTAAGAATGTCAGAATGGCATTGTCCATAATAAAGAATAGTTTGATATTGTCAGCAACTACATAAGTTGTTGATAAGTAATTTCACAAATCATTTTGTATGTTTAAAACTACAAAAACACGTTGCATAGCGAAAAGTAAAATTGAGTAAAATTTGTATTTATATAATTTATAAACTAAAAGTTTCAATAGATATTAATAACTAAAAAAAATTGTTTATTTATTGATTTATTTTGTCAATACCAAGAAACTCTTTTTATGTATTTATATACTTATTAATTCATTGTTTGATCACTGTGTAAACCCAAAACTATGAAATAGTAATACATGATTATTTGTACAAAATTAACGTGTTGAGATGTATTTTGCTATTACTTATTTAGAAAAATTAATTTTAATCAAGTATTATTGAAAACCACTGCAGGGTAATTCTCATGTTGTTGATTAATAAAATATATACAATTCTAAGAAAGTACTGTAATTGTTTATTTATTCATTTTTGAAATATTTCGGAAATAGCCTTAGGGATTTTCTTATGTCCACATCAACTGAAGGCTTAATATTTTATGTTGAAAACTTTTCGGTTAAATTTTCATATAAGGGAAAATTTAATATCCTACCCTTATTACTAATTGTAAAATCAATAAAGGTTATTATAACAGTTAGCATATAAACTCATTAGTAGCAAGACAAGTATTTTAAGTAGACAAGGTTTAGTTTTTTTTAAATAAAAAATATTTTGGACTTGCGCATTTGTTTTTATATTGTATTCCATGTATTTTAAGGGCTAAATACCTACTCTAATTTTCCCCGAAATAATCAAAACCTATTCGTTCTTAATTTAATGAACTATTATCATTGAAAACATTTTGTTCGAAGCCTGTCCTAATTGAAGTTTGTGTTCTCGTAAGATTTTGATTAATACTATTAGAAGCTTCACTACTAATGAAATTATATTTGAAGTTATATAGTTTTATATTTATCAGTCTAATTTTTTTTTAGTTTTTGTAGAAAATATGTATTGCTTAAATATTTTAGAAATCTTATTTCATTACTAACATAGTTTTTTTTTAATTTTCTTAAACCTCATAAATATAACTTTGAAAAATTTGTATATTATTGAAGTTTTTTCATTTAAATATCGGTTTATATCATTACACAAATTATAAGAAAAAATAACTATGTAATTTATATTGATAATATAGATAATGAATTATTTTCATTTGATATTAATTTTTAATATTTTGTATAATACAGAATATGAAAAATAAAATAAAAATACTTCGAGGTATTAGAGAATGAACAGTAAAAGTATTCATTAAGAGTGAGATAGGATTTTAGAAGTACTTGGTTGTATTTTATGTTAACACGTATTGTATTGGCAGTTTCATTAGACTTTTTTGAAGTATACATAATTTACGATATTCTTTTATAATTTACGAAAAAAAACTATCTTCAAACTTTGTTTTTACAAAGCGCTTATAAGTAACCCGAGTTTACATATTCCCTGTAAATCCAATTTCTTTCCTTCTTGATACTATCGTCTTTTTTAAATTAAAGTTATTGTTGCTTCTTGTCTTTTAAATTATTAAACGAATGAAGCATAAGTTATAGCACTGAATTATTAAACCAAATATTGAAGATAATAGTAATAAATTCTATACTTTGTAGATTAATGTGAACAGTTTACGCTAGAGACATTAAATACGTTAACAGAATTTTCTTTGTATTCTGTCTAGCACTACAATGATAATCAATAAATAAATATTACCTGAATTATCATTTATCATAATTCATTGAATAACAAAATTCCTATAAGCTTATTTTCGTCATTTCCTTTATTTTTTATACTAAACCTTTTTAATGCACATTATTTAAGATTGAAAATTACATACTACTGTAAAAATCTCCTTTGTCATTAGTATTTTATCATGTACCTTTTGTATTAAAGTTAATTTTTTTATATATGCTAATTTAATTCGAAAAAAAAATTTGTTTTTTCATTATTCGGTTTATATTTTTTTTAAAAGTGATAGTGAAGTATTTTGTTCATTAGTTAATAGTTGACCGATGCTAGATTTGTTTACGCCCATTGGCAGTTTAAAGTTAAACGCCCAACTCAATAAATAAGACCTTTTTTTAATCTAAAAAAATAATTTACAAAACAGCTATGTGCGTGCCTTATGATACTCCCAGAAAAAACAGCTTTATTTTTGTTCTCCTATTAAAAAGTTTTGAATTAAGATTTTTAAAATTGTTAAGTACAAAGCCATTAATATTCAATGTACATTTAAGATGAAAAATTTCCTAAATCTCAATGAATTAAATTTTCGGATAAGTTTAATAATAAATATTTCACGTGTACATCTTAGTTGAATTAAGTGAATCTTAGATATTTGTTTATAAAAGCTTTTTATTGTTCGCGATAACATGTATTTCATCAGAATTGTTTCAATAAAAAAAATAAACAACTTGGTCAATGATTAAACTTGTTAACATTTTATTCTGTTCTTGTTTGAATTGAATTTATTTTATGTACACAATGCGGGAAATAGTAAAATAAAATAAAAAACAATACTAAATTAATTCTTGTAATTATTATATTTCATCAGTTTGTTTAATTATAGCCATAATACAGCTGATGTCAAATTTTTTTCGGAATTACGGATAAACATGTGTCTCTATCCACTCATTTTACACATGTGTAAAATGATTGCAATTTATTTGGCTGTGATAATGCCGTAACAGTTTCTTTGGTTTTGTTATTTAAAATAGTTGTTGGAATTCCTCGTAAACTTTTGAATTAAATTCGTATTACATATTTCAACAAATAAACTAGTAAAATAATTTCTGTTGCTTGTACATACTTTACGTAGAAACTCCGTACAATTAATAATGTTTTAAAACTACTGTATCGAAGCCTGAGGGGAATGATAAACATGTTATTTTGTTTTTAAAGTTAGTCTGTACTTTATGACATTGATTAAGACACAATTGAAATAAATATATTAAATTATTTTATTTATCAAAAACAGACTGTGAAAATTTATATAGGTTTTTTATAATTCTTATCGTCACTAAAAAAATCAATCTCTTGACTTGCTACAATTTATTTATTCAAATTTTATGTTTGAAATATTATAATTTAAATATTATTGAAAGGATCTTAATATTTTTTCAAATGTATTCTACATTATGTACTTTTCTTTAACATCTTGTCAAAAAAAGTATTTAATCGGAAACTAAATCTTGAATTAACTAAAATACTCAAATAAATGCCAAAATAAAATACAGTACTATAAAATACATTATATTAAAAAGAATGTCTAAAATCGGTTTGCAAAAAAATCCAATACAAAATATATAAAAAATTATTTAACATATTTTTTATGCAAACGATTGAGTACAATTTATACATTTTTTTATTCTTCAGAAATTATCATCTATCAACTCTTTTATTATTATTTTAGTTCTTAAATGATGTACTACACCAAAAAATTGAAAATTCGTATAATTTTTAATAAAATATGCTTTTTGCAATCGCTATAAAAGTTTTTTTGTCTAACAAATACTACAAAGATTTTCTGGTTCACTCGACTCTATACTTGAAAATATATTATGTTGTTGGAGCAATCTTGATTGCCCGTCAAGAATCTACCAGTAGTTTTGCGTTGGTGGAAAATCTTATGGGAATAGTTCTCAATTCTGCTTCTATCCATTTTATATCTTCTACAATCCAGCTTAGGTGGGCCTATTGTTACAACGCGTTTTGCCAACATTACAATGATATGTTATTCTCTTTTATATGACGTTTAAAAAACAATGATAACAATTGTTCAGTTTCAGTATACTATTATCAGACAAAGAATTATGACAAAAGGATTTTAATTTGGCCAACAAAACATGCACATTTAATAAAAAAAATATAGTTATATGTTGTTACACAAAACTTTCTAATTTATTTTTAATATAATATTTACATCTAGTATACCTGGTCAATTATTTACTCAATAATATTTGATTTTTTCTTTTTAATTTATTTCTATTTAATGATTATAATTACATTAATATCGAGTTATTATTTAAACTTTTGTTAAATTTTTGACATAGATAAACTACTCTACAACCATCAATAATCATATTATAAACGTGTATTAATCTGTAGTTTTAATTTGACTATTCTAAAAACTAAAATCTTTGATCTTTTAAACTTTAGTAATAAACAACAAATATACATAATTTTTTAGTCAATAATATATATAATAAGCTTTGAGTTAAATCTCAATGAAATCATTTTTTGGGGAAATGTTCAAATTTTGTTTTAATAATATTATTATTCTTTATTCAATGCATTTTCAACGTAAGCGTTATTTTTATGGCAATTGAAGTACATTTTTAGCATTTTTTAGGGTAATTAATGATAACTATAGGAAAAAAAATGAAATTAAATCATTTGTATTATCTACCTAGGCTTATAATTAATAGTCAACTTTCTGTAAAAAAGCATTTGTTTTATTTCCGGCTTCCTCATTTGATTTTATTTTTATATCCTAATAATAAACCACAAAAAATCTTTTGTAAATAAATCCAGAAATTTATAGTTAACCAAAGTCTTATTTAATTTTTAACATTTCTATTTAAGTTTTGTACTGTTCTGTAATTATTTTAAATAAAATTATTAAAATTAATAAAAAAATTTTATGTTATCGTAGTTCGTCAAGGAAAGAATCTCATTCCTATGGATCCAAATGGTTCATCAGATCCTTATGTCAAACTAAAACTAATACCTGATACGGATAGTATTAAGAAGAAAACCAAAACAATCAAATCATCTTTAAACCCTATCTGGAATGAAACTATTACTTTGTAAGTACAAACATTTACAGTACACTAACTGCACATAACAAAATATTTATCATATAACCAGTGTTGTATTTCATTTAATTAAGCTTCATTTTACAACCCCATAAATACATTCGTATTTACGCAGTTTGATGGAGATAAATGTGTTTATATAATATTTATATAATAATAATTTATTTATTGCATAATAAGTTTCTAAATTCGTTGTGATCCAATGTATATATTTTACTGAAAAAATATATTTATTACTTACGTCTCAACTAAACCGACAGCTATATCTATTATCATGTTTGACTAGAATTTTTTATTCACTCGCATAATGGATGTAAAAAAGCGATTGTAAAGGGTAAAAAAAGTAACAATTTTTGAAGAAAACGGAAAGGATGTGGTAATTTTAAAATTGAGTTTGTATACAGGGTGATTTTTTTTATCATAAACTTCTCAATTACTTACAGAGTAATAATAATTTAAACATTTTTTTTTGGTTATCTTTAGTTACACATTATTCTTGAATTATTAACTATGTAATACTTTTTAAGTTCATCCCTTATGCTTGGTAAGGGTGTCAACTTTGTTTTTTTAAATGGGAACACATATTTTGAATTTAATAAAATGTTTGAGTTTTTTATTTAATAGTAAATGGCATTTGAATTTTTAGTATAACTTTAGTATAACTCGATATTAGTAGGTACACAGAATTGTTATTATCAATGGTAGTAAGGCACATTATTGTGAGTTTATAAATACACTAACTGACAATACAGAAAGTATATCTATTGATAGTCATAATTGATAATAAACAATCCGTGATTGTGATAGTAATGTCATAAAAATCCAATTAGCTATCTGTATTTATAATTCCTTGTGTATTATACATGTATATTAACTCAAAAATTTGAAACTTTAAATGTTTATATCTAATAAACTAATTAAGTTATACTAAAAATTCAAATTCCATTTACTTTAGAATTAAAAATCCAAATATTTTATTAAATTCAAAATATGTGTTCCCATTTAAAAAAACAAAGTTGATACCCTTACAAGGCATAAGGGATGAACAAAAAAGTTTTAAATAGTTAATAATTCAAGAATAATGTGTAACTAAAGAAAACCAAAAAAAAATATTTAAATTCTGCTAGCAATTGAGTGGGTTATGATAAAAAAATCACCCTGTAGTTAATGAAGAGATTTAATCAATATCTATAATTTTCTTATACTACCTGTTTATTATCTTACTAAAATCCATTTAACTTTGACACGAACCTCTCTAACCTTTAATCCTTGTAATAAAAGGAAGGTACCTTAAAATAATTTCCTGGAATACCGTAGAAATTTTATGAGAATACATTTATTAACACGCCCGATTATATTTATTTAGTTAAAAAATTATGTACTGATGTTACTTTTTCTAATATTTTATTATCTTCAATAAAAACTCGTCAAATTCTTTTGTATTTGCTGAATAATTTATTAATACCATTTATACAATAATGGGTTAGGTAGCATGAATAGTGGTTGTCAATTCGGTATTCAATTCACTTTCAATTGGTATGTTTTTTTCCTTAAATAATTATTTTATAAAATAAATCAGTAATTACCGCCTGAAAGTTAATTTTATTGTTTGTTTAGTATCATCCTCTATTTTTCAAAAAATGCTCTTCTATCATTTCATGTTATCCGTTATTTTCAAGAATGTTTACTTTGCGTAGTTGGTGCTGAATTTCATAAAATAATATATTTTTATATATAATGTATTACATTATTTTTCAATAAAATAAACGATTTCTATGAAACAAATATTTTGCAACATTGATCATTACTTTACTTATACCCTCCTACGATGTATGAATGCGACCGGCGCACAAACACAGTTTACCGTTTAACATATAAATACCGGATCGTGGGATTAACATTTCCGTAAATAATACATATAATATAACCGATAACTTAAATATTTAAATAAATTTAAGTTTTGAAATTAAAATAATTTTCCGGTATTTACTGAAAGTGAATTATATTGGTTATACAATATTAATTTATAATTAACAGTTATCATAGTTTATGACATATTTTTTAATTTATGAAAACATGTGATTAATCTTTAATGAATTATAAAACTAGAATTACTGGTAGTTATGTATAATTTTTAAACATCTTTGCCTAATTTTATTATTTAATCACCTGTGTATTAACAGAAATTAATAGTTTCAATAAAAGAGAATAATTATTTTTCTCGTAGTTTGTGTATATGAACTGAAATTTTTTGTTCTTAACATGTTTAAAAACATTAGCAAAATAATGTAATTTTTATTGTTTTTTTTAAATACTTTTTATATTTTAAAAAATATAGTTTGATTTTTTATATTAAAACGTATATTTGACTGTCGGAAACAAATTTGCTCAGTTAATCTTGTATCAATTGTATGTAATTTGTTTTCTGAAAATGTATTTAATGCTGTTCAATATACAATCAAAAAAATAATAATTCTTTTAATAGATAAATCAAGGAGGTACATTGTTAAAATAACACTACAAAAATAATTTAATTGTTCATGAAATCATCACCGTTATGCAATTTTATCAAACACTTTAAAAAACTAATATTCTCCAAATTAATTTTATTAAAATTTGAGTTAAATTTTATTAGCTGAATATAAAACTTTTGATCTTTACATTTATTTAAGTACATAGATTTCTTTAAATTTTATGACCCAGTGTTAAATACAAATTTTACAAATTTTACATATTATATATTTACATATTTTACTATTCTATTATATTCATTAAAAATATTATCCTTAAAAATGGAATCTCTAAATGGCAAATAAAATTTCCCTTAATTGAACATTATCTTTTAGATTTGTTTCTATGGTTTGTATTTAAATTACAACTTTAGATAAGTAAATGCTACTGTTGGAATTTGTGTATGCTTATGTAACTGAAGTGTTTATGCTCAATTTATATATTTAAAACAGTAGCAATATACTAAATTATAATGATTAAATTTATAAAAGCAATTTTCCATTAAATTTTATGATAAATATATAATTTTCTTTTTCTTTTTATTGTGTTCGTTGCTGGACTTTCTTGATACTAATTTTTGTTAAAATCATTAAATAGACATAAAAAATAAGTAAAGTATGAACGTCTAAAAAAAAGCATTCATTTTTTTTAATAAATATATTATAGTACTATAGTATTAATTAAACTTGAAATATTTTGCTTCAGCCAATTAGATGGATATTGATATAGCATTTTTATTGACAAGCGACAAGTAGTCAATTGTCATTCTGATGAAACAAGGATGCATTTTAGTAGTTGTTCATCGATTTGGCTCTTGCTGCATTCGCATAAGGACTGGACAGTCCTTCTTGGTATTCTATTTCACCATGTTGACTCTTATCTTGGCTACTTCTGCTCTTAACCTATATATCGTTTTCCATATAGTCCATGATAGATTTCCACCTGGTAGATGGCGTTAATCAAATGAAACAGATGTTACAACTTGTAGTTCTTCTATAAATTTACGCAGTCGAAGCTGGTAAAGAGAATCCCGTGTCACATTTGTATTAGCAATAATACTTTTTCTTAATTTAAGTCTCCTTTAAGATTCAAGTAACCATACAAGGGGTACTTTTTGTCTTCAGATTGTTTTCTTCTCTCAATGCATGTGGCCATATATCTCCATATCTCTGGTGTAACTATCCCCAATAATGAATAGATATATTTTAATGGCGTAGCTTTGAAGCATCCAGTTATGAACTAACAAGTTTCATTTAGTACCGTACCGGCATGTTTAGTATATTTAGATTGATATTATACTGGTCAAGCGTACTCACTAATGGAGAAACATAGTACTGGTCCTGTGGTTCAGATCATTCTTGGGGTGGCATCCCACTTGCTACCTTCTTGTTTCCGTATTAGTTATTATGAAAATATAATAAGAAGTTTATGTATCAATTGAAATATCAAAAACTAAAACTTTTTAGTTAGATGTTTAGTATGATACTTCATTTCCTACGTTTACCTTAAAATTAGTTTAAATTTCACTTTTATATTTCAATATTAAATTTCAAATAAATGTTTCCAGTGTAAATTTTATTTTGAGAAAATTTTCAAAATCGAATTGTTATCGTTATAGGATTACATGAAATAACAAATTTCTCTTATATAAAATAAAGTGACGTTGATACTATTTGTTTTTGTTCTACCAATACTGAAACAGTATTAGTTTATTTATTCGACGTTATTAAATTCGAATAAAAGGCAATCTACCGTATCAGAAAATAAATGTGCTACAAGTTTTTAACGGGGATATGACATGATGATAACAAGACAGGTAAGATGAGTTTCTTATTCGGGTAAAGACCGATAAATTTTCTTTACTCTTGAACTTGATCGACTACCGATGAAAATTTACCTGAACTTTTGAAAATAAACCTTGTATTATTTCATATCATATATGTACTAACTAATAAAACTTAATACAATTGACGTGTATCAATAAAATGAATAATAACTTTTTCAGTGAACTAAAACCGGAAGACAAAGACCGTCGTTTGTTGATTGAGGTTTGGGACTGGGACAGGACGTCTCGGAACGATTTCATGGGGTCACTGTCATTCGGCATATCCGAACTAATCAAATCACCGGTGGAAGGATGGTTCAAGTTACTAACACAGGAAGAAGGTGAATTTTATAATGTGCCAGTACCCGAGGAAGGAACCGACTTGGCCGCTCTGAAAAATCAAATGCGGGTAAGTTAGAAAGAGTGTGTAATACATTATATATTTATACATAATATATATTTCGGTTCACATATTATTGAAATTTTACACTAATATTTACTCTCTTATTTAAATATCCTAATTCATTAAATGTATATATTACGAATGCGAGTTAGCGTATATTTTATATGTCCCCGACTTAATTTCCAATAAAAATATAAAATGGCCATCTTTCAATTGTTTGAAGCATGAAAAAAATTTAATTCTTGTTTGATTACTAACCTGACATTTATTATTATTTTGTTGTTGTTCATAAATAATTTCTGCTAGAATTGATATACATACATTAACCTGATAAACTTATAAACATTTTTTGTTATTCTTTTATTCCCTTTATAAATTTATGAAATTTATTAATTTTAACGTGTGTAATATGAATGTTTTTGTAAAAAATAAATATTCTGAATTTTGCTCACGTTCATCAGAGTATTCCTTTTTTTTTTATTTTATGCACACTGATTAATTTGTTGTATGTTTTTTTTATACATGAATGCAGGGCTCGAAAACTCAAAGTCGAATTTCGGTTTGTTGTATACGTTTCTTTAAAAATATATTTTTTTTAATTGCCTCGTAGAACAGTAAATTAGTTTGCATGTTCAAATCTTAATAGTAGGAATCGTATCTTTTTTTTAGTAAATCTGTTAAATTTGCGTAAATTTAAGTAACATCTAATTTATAGAACTTTTACAGAAATAAGATTCAATAATATTACTAAAATGATAAAAAATTTATGTTAAATATTACTTTACATGACGTAAATTTATTTAAGTTCATCCGATAAATTATTGTAAATGATTAAAATTGATATAGTTTAATAATTAGCAAATCAATTTTTGTCTGTCTAACTCGTCAGAGATTTCGTTGACATATGTTTAAATTCAACAATTTTCTTATTGAGTAATGATGACAAATTCTTAACTTAATTATACGTCCGATAACTTAGTGGTTTTTCAAACATCACGTACGTAGTGCTTAGAAGCGAAATGTTGACTATATAATTTGCATTCAACCAGTGTATATATGGAGATAAGGTTGTTTAAAAGTTGTAACATTAAAAAAGTAGGTCACATAATAAACTGAACTTTCGTGTTTTATTCAAAATACTGTAGTCAATTTTATTTAAAACTAGCAGTTAACCAAAATACGTTGCAACGCTAAAAAATGTTTTTTTATAGAGAAAGTTGTTTTAACCAACTCATTAATTAATTGACAATGTTATCTAATATACAAGATAATTAATTTATCATGAGCCTATAAATCTATAAAACTTAATTAATAGTAAGATAAAAATAATATAAAAAGTTTTTTTTTATTTCTTTTAAGTACATGTTTTTCTCAATTTATTAATTATAAAATATTTTTTATTATTATCTCTTATACTTTATAAGGGTATTCTTTCAAATATTAATGATTATATATATATATGAAGTATTTTTAATTTGAAGACTTTATAATATACTATTAGTAATTATGTAATTACATAATTACTAATAGTTATTATGTGTTTAAAAATGTCGTGATGTGGTGCAGTGGATTATTCAGTTTGGTGCTGTTTGCTGTTAGTTTCCGGATGGGTGACCATTTGGGTGCTTTACAATGACACACCTAACCACCTTTATGACTCACTTAGCCATAAAGAGATTAGGGTCGAAAACCAATGTAAACATTTCTGTCAAATCGTAAGGTAGAATCAACCCTTAAAACTAAGGATATGCTGATAATTTTTTTAATAATGTCTTGTCCTAATATGCAAAGTTTATAAAATGTATTAAATCGAAACCAACCATTAATTTTGTTAATACATTTTTTCTTTTAGTTGGTTAAACAAATTTCGGATAACTTAAAAAAAAATTTTCATAAATTACCAAAATAATATTTTCTAACAATAAATAACTTATATTGTTAAGGAATTTATGCACCTACTATATTTTTTTCCAATTAATGAAAAATAATTATAAGAAATGAAAAGCGAACAAATAATATCTTGCAATTTATAAGAGATGGTAGCGATTTTAAAATTTAAATATATTATGCCCTATCTAATATGTTTGACTTTGGCATCACATTTCACCTCGAACTATTACAATAAAATGTTAATGACTTCTAAAATACTAGTCTAAAAGTTGTTATCGATCAGTCATTTTTTTTTAGATCTATCAAATAAACTAGTTAATTATGTATGTTGCAATTTGTAAAAATGAAATCCTTATAACTTATAAGGTATACAAATTCTTAACGATTGATTAAAAATGTACCTAAACGAAATCAAAAAAAATGTTCAACCTTATTATTATTTTAATATTAATTAAATGGTACATGATAAATGAATCACTATGACATAGTGATATGTACATGGATATACATTGTATATCCATGTACAGATTGGAACAGATATCAACTAACAACTTTTGATCCAATCATCAATCAATTAACTTTTTTTTTTATTTCAAAATTTAAAATAGTTTTTTAGAGCGTCACAACAATTGTGCGCAATTTAAATTAGATAATTTTTTTAAGTATAAACTCATGTGTTATTGTAAAATACAAATAAATGTTCAATCAATTAAGTACAAATTTAAAATCCAAGTGATAGTAGGGTAAAACAATTAAGTCAATATTTCATTTTAACCAACTTCATTTTTCTTTTTAAATTTCACAAATAATATAAGACGTACATAAAATTTATTTAATAATCAAACATGTGTCGACAGAAATAAAAAGCAAAATCTTGATGTATTTAGGTTAACTAGAAATATATAAATGAATTGATAAACAAAAATTTTAAACCTCTTTAACTTCAAAATTTACAATTTGGTCAGTGTCCATCCTGCTCAATGCACTTTTACCATTTTTAATTCAATCTTTGACATTATTAACAGAAATATTTACGATTTGTACTATGTATTTTAACTTTGATCGTTTTTTTTCATACAAAAACAATTTCAAAGTTATATTTTTTTAATTTTTGACTTTGTGTTTAATTGACAATAAATATATTGAAATTATAAATTTTTTACTTAAATGAATAACCTATTCCTAATATCTCAATTGCGCTATTGTGTCGTATATCCGTTTTTAGAGCTTTTCTAAAAAAAATTTAATGAACCAATAACAATTTTAGGACGAGTAATTATTGAGTTACAGGTATTTTAATAAATAGAGTGGGTATGTAGCACGAGTGGAGTATGCATTATAAATATACAACAGTACAAGCATACTCCACTCGCCTTATCTATGTAATAAAAAGTTTGTAACCCCATAATTGCTTGTCTTAAAATTGTTATCGACCCCCATTTATAATTTTTGTACTAAAAACTGGCTATTTTGAAATAAAAAGAAATTTAAAAAAAAACAAATAATAAAAATATATGTATTATATATATTTAATATATATTTAATATATATAATACATTTCCAAAAAATTATAATATTTAATTTAAGTCACTTTCGCTTTTAACTACCTTAATTATTTTTTAACTAATATTATCATTAATAATATTTATTAATTATAATAATAAGTAATAGTAATAAAATGAGTAATAATTTTATTTACTTTCAAATAGTTACCGTTTTTAATTAATTGATTTAGATATTATAGTTTTTAACTGAAAAATATCATGTATTTTTGTTTTTAATTAAATTGTTTTTTTTTCTTCATAGTTTAATATAAAAATAACATTGATATTATTTTTATAATCGAAATTCCGTTTCTCATTTAATACTAAATGAAGAGATAGCATTATGTATTATTCTTGGTATTGTTTGTTATTAGGTTCTATAATTTCCTGCAACTTCAAAGAAATCAATTTAAGAATATTATATTTTTAATAATTTTTAATAATTAACCTTGATAATCAACTTTAAATGAATTTAAACTGTATCAAATTAGGATTATTACTTAGGATTAATTTAATTATTACTTCAGGTGCTATATGGAAACATTTCCAATTAAAAATTGTTTTTTCCTATTTATAAATTTACATCAATAAAAAGACTATTAAAGTTATAAAAATGATATAAGATTCTGTAGTTATTTATTAGTATGTACAATTTTATTTTGCAGATGGAGAATGAAATGTTATGGGTAATATTAAATTAATGTTAATTTTAACTTTTAAAGTTGTTCATTTATTAATTTTTCAGTATAAAAAGTAATAAATTTTTAAGCGTATCCATTTATTCATATATATATATTAACTGGTCTATAGATCAGTTTACCCTTTTTGTTATTATTTAGGACCGTTCTTAAGATTGGCATAGCCCAGTGTTAAAATAACTGTGTATAATCTACAGGTTTTTTTTTATTAATGCGTGACCCTTGTTTAACACACATGTGATTTTTACTAAAGATTTTTTTAACATAATGTACTCATATTTTTGGTCAAAATCCATGTTTTTGTTTTGCTTTTAAAAATTACTTTTAACAGATAGAGTAACACAACAAGATTGGTATCTTAAAATACCAATAACTTCAATAACCACTCTTCATTACACTCATCAAAAAATATGATTAGAAACTTTAAATTCATTTTGCTTTATTAAAAAAGTTGTTATCTTACTAATTAAACTAATAAATTTTATCTAGGTTAAATACATTTTTATTTATAGATATTTTTTAACAGAATTGTGAAAAACTTTGTTATTGCTACCCATTAAAACGTGCCCATTTTTTGTTTAATTTTTTTAAAAACATAATAAGATATTATATTAAATAGATTTTTATTAAAAATTGTTATATATATATGAAAATATTATAATATAATGTACAGAATGAGCAAAAAGTAAGGTAACAGATCAATTATTACAAACAATAGAAAATAAATGTTAGTTTGTACGTCTTTTATATTTTTCAAAATGTTTGCCCTTAACTTGTCTTTATATATGCAGGTTTCTTAGATCTAATTAACAACGTTTATTCATTTTGATCCAATTAGAATTTCTTATTGAAATGATTTTTTTTTTTATTATTATTGCTTCCTTAGACTACATTAAAAACACATTGTTCATTATTTATCTCCAAGAGCAAAAAATTAAAAATAACATTTTTTCAAAATTTAAAAAAAAAAATTTTCATTTTATATCAACAATTTTGATTACTCGATAACAATTTTTGAGAACGAGTAATTGTGCACGAGGAATTATATGTACATCATTATGTGCTTCACTCACCAGCGTTCCACACTCACTCTATGTATAAAAATGATTGTAACTCAATAAGACCTTGTTCTCAAATTGTTATCAACTTATTAAAATTTATTTATAATTTCAAAAAATTGGAGTTAATTAAATAAAACCATATTTGCTGTAAAAAAAATGATGAAATTACGGTAATTTTTGATATTTTTGAACAACTTTTTTAATACTTATTTATTTGTATAAATTAATGATCACTGAGATAGTATTTTTTAAGAAATTATTAATATAAACATGATAAAAAAAATTAAAAAACAAAATAATTATACCACGAGTTACGAGTTAAACTTTTCTACGTTGCTAATAACCGAGTGCGTTACCTTACTTCTCAAATTAAAGATAGTAATTTTGTTAAAAGATATAAATTGACACTTATTTAATTGTTTATTGATTTATCTATAATTTTCATAGTAAATTTCAGTGTTAAACTTTTTAGATCACACGTTCAAACTTTAACCTCTTTTCTTATCGTGCTTTTCATATTTGTAAATATTTATGTGAAGTTGTAGTTTTATTAAGGTATAGTACTTTTATTTTATGTGTATTTTCCATATTAGAAATTATGCAAGTAAAGTTTCGGTAGCTCAAAAAATTGGACATTTACATTTGTATTCAGTTTTTATGTTATTTCTTTACCGGAAAACGAAAGTAATAATTATTTCAATTAATTAAGAAACGTGATTAAAAGTCCTTGATAATTTTCATCTCATAATGGTTGATGTTAAACTATATTAAAAGATTAGTTTTTAACTAAAGTATATAATTTTCATTTAATTGCTAAACGCAAAAAACATCGTTATTGGCAAAGAATTTGAAGAACTTGAGTTTTTAAAAAAATTTGTTGTTTTTATCTTACTCAAACATAACATTATATAACTACCAAATAAAAAAACTTTGATGTTTTATTAACATTTGAATAATTTATTTGTAGTAAATTATTAACAATTATTACAATTTAAATTTGCTAAAAGTTAAAATTACATTTTGAATTATCTTAGTCCATTGAAAAAAATTATCAATGTCATATTTTTTGTTTTTTTTTTTTACGTTTTTATGTGTACCTTAAAAAATCCTTAAAGATGGTTTTATAATAATAACTTAATACAAAAGCTATACGACAAATTGAGTTGTATACTTGTGATATATTTTAAAAAGTATTAAGTTACAGTGGGAATTTTTAGCTTTGTAAATATTTATATCATTCATTTAGAAAAGAAAGAAAAATTAAAATTTCGTGTTGTACTTACGAATCTATATTATCTGTATTATTTGAATTGGCTTAACGATTTAGAAAATATATTTTATTATGTTAAATTAGCTGCTTAGTATTTGTAAATTTTAATTCATTATATTTAATCAAAATGCCACTATCATTTTACCCAATATTGATTTTAATATATGCTCATGTGTTTTTAGAAAACTTCTATTACATGTAGAAAACCAATGGTACCAGATAAAGATGTGCCACATAATATGGGCAAAAAAGATGTCATAAGAGCATCAGATTTCAATTTCTTGCAAGTACTTGGAAAAGGCAGTTTTGGAAAAGTAATAGTGTTTAAGTTTATTTTTTTATTGGATATTTAATATACGTATTGTATGTTTTCTGTCAAGGTAATGTTAGCTGAGAGAAAAGGAACAGACGAGTTGTATGCAATTAAAATCCTAAAGAAGGATATAATTATTCAGGATGATGATGTCGAGTGCACAATGGTTGAAAAGCGGGTTTTAGCATTGTCAAGCAAACCACCATTCCTCGTTCAGCTTCATTCTTGTTTTCAAACAATGGTGAGTTGTATGCTTAATATTGTTGACTTTGCTAACTTACTTTATTATTTTATACTTTAACTGTATTAAAATTATAAAGTAATGAAGTATTCCATCAGGCTATCGTTCTGATATAACTTATTTATTACTTAACGACAGAAAACTTTATTTTATATAAAATTTTTTGAATGAAAAATTATAAAAACCACTAATAGAAAAAGTTAATTTTATTTTTTAATTAAGTAGTATTTTTATTTGTAGCACAATATATAAAATAATAATAAACCTCATTTAATTCATTAAAGTGTAATTTTCGTTTTAAACTAGGTTTTTATATAATATTATTGATGACTATACTAAAAATTTAGGTTGTATTTAAAATAATACAGAAAAGGGCTAACAAAATGTTTGAGATAAACAGACGTTTTTTATTTCGTTATGGAAATAAGTAGAACAATAATATAACTGAGAAACTATTTCCTTCAATAAAACATTATGAAGTTAGTCGTTTTGAATTATATGCGAGTAAAAAAAATATAATAAACGCTATAGATTATGAAAGAATTATTTCCTAGGATTTGTCTGCATATAATATCAAAATATGTTATAAAAAGATCTCCTGTGGGTATATATTAAAATAAATTTACTAACCAAGACTATGTATAAGAAATTCTTAGATAATTCACGTTTTTATAAAGCGACGTGTTTCAAAAGAATTCTGACGTCCCAAAATATTTTTAACTGGTAAAAAGTTTTAAAAAACGTTTAGTACTTCAGAAATGACTGTAAGAAATTTGATTTATTGCTATTGTTTATTCTTTCAAATCCATTAAAATTTTTGAAATTACAATAAAATATAGTTCTAGCGTAGCTTTAAAAAATATATAAAAAGAAATAAATGATAAAAAGAACACAAACTTCTCTTATACATTTTAATATTCGTATATTTATTATTTATTTTAGTTCTAAATTAAATGTTTAAATTGTAAGGTCAATAAAGGAATTATTGACTTTTCTTTTGTAAAATAAAATAATTTTCATGGTAAAAAACTGAGCTTATGCATATTTTAATAGTTAATAATTTACTAAAATTAAATGCATTGAACAAAAAATCAAAAATTCTATGCGTAAAACTAACTGGCAGTAGATTCTAAATAGACATTTTCACTGATTCCTAATCTAGCATCGTAAAGATCTGGTTGGCTTTAGTTTTTGACATATTCACTAATTTTTTTACACTAATTAACGGATATTATGCAGTTATAAAACATTTTTTATTTTTAAACATAAATATATTATATTTAAAATGTACATGTAAAAGTTTATACCATGTTACAACATGTTTAAACTATAAATTTAAATCTTCAAAATTGATTTTGTAAGTAATTTTTCAAAAAACAAAGTTTTATTATAATTATAATCATAGCTATAACTTTTCTTGCCTTAATGTACAATTACTAAATTATAACCAATTTATAAAAAATTAAATCCATATTTCAAATAATACTAATTTTATGTTTCTAGTATTATTAAATAATTATATAATTGATAATAATAATAAAAAATACGAAAAGCATGAAATTTTGCTAATCACTTTTTTTTACCAAAGTTCTTTGAAACTTTATCATAAATTCAATTTATTAAAATTTATGTATGCTATTGTATACTTTTTAACGATGAAAAAATGATAAAAAAGATTCATAAATGAAAGTAACCAAATTACAGTTTAAAAACAAATTAAACCAAGTGATATGTGCTATTGCATTTCGTGATTCATAGTATTTATTTTCATCAATAGTATTGGTTAAACCTTTAATTTTTATTTTTATACACAAAAATAAAATAACGTTTTATTAATTCGTTTAAATATAATACTGGATTTTTTGGAATTATTAATTGTATTTTGAGAAGGAATAGCAAATAAAAATGTTTACTTTAATAAGATATTTGATTATATATTTTGTGGTAGTTTTGACACCTTTACATTGAAAGTTGTAGTGAATTGTGTTTTATTAAGATTGCAAAAAAAATCGAAACACATTAAAAATATTAAATCTTTATTATATAACACAGGTCAGGTTATAATATATATATATTAATTTTTATCAAAAGTATACAATTTTTTGGTGTATTACATTAAATTATTTTATTTAATAAGGTTATTTTAGCATCGACGCGAAGCTGAGAAAGTATTAATTTGACTATGATGTATTTTTTTTTTTTTTGTGTCTGTTACCACTTTTTCTCAGATCTCACCGAACCGATTTCTTTAAATGATACGTCAAAAGATCACAAATCGTATCTAGTCGAAGACATTACCCTCAAAAATTGAAAAATTTCCTTCGTACCCCGTAAATGGAGGAAACCTCCAAAAAAATTTCAAGTTTGAAAATCATTAATTTTTGATATTTTTTAAATTTTTTTACTTAAAATAGCCATAACTTTTTTTAAAATAACCAAATCAATATAATTTTTTTTTTTTAAATACCTTAGACATTTACCTATTATTTGATATATTTTAGCTTCAATGCGAAGCTGAGAAAGTATTAATTTTACCATGTGTTTATTTATTAATTTTTTTTTTTATGTCTGTCACTACTTTTTCTCAGCTCTCACTGGACCGATTTCTTTTAACAATACGTCAAAAGATCACAAATTGTATCTTGTTGAAGACATTATCCTTAAAAATTTAAAAATTTTCCCTCGATCCCTGCAAATGGGGGAAATATCCAAAAAAATTACAAATTTAAAAATCGACAAATTTTGTCATTTTTTTCACTTTTTTTTCTTAAAACTTCCATAACTTTTTCAAAAATCAACAAATCAACATAATTTTTTTTTAAACTAAAACCTTAGATATTTCCCTTTCATTTGATATCATTTTTTTGAAAATTTAACACATAACCTGCTCATGGGGGGGGGATTTAAAATTGCAACTTTTTTATAAAAACTAACTTTTTCAACTTAATTTTTGAAAATGTTCCGGAAATACTGCGTCCTTTAAACATATATCAAATTAAAGCTTATTTTATGTACTATAAAATGAAAAAAAAAAATTTGTCCCGACACCTTATCTTCTATGTGCAAATGGCTGTCGAAATTATAAAAAAAATGTAATATTTGCGATAAAAATCACCTTTTATAACGATGTTTTTTGTACTTAAAACTGCCATAACTTTTTCAAATATTAACTAATCAAAATAATATTTCTTTATATTGAAACCTTAGGTAATTTTCTTTCATTTGATATCATTTTTTTTTGAAAATCTAACACTTATTCTGCTCACAGGGGGGATTTAAAATAGCAACTTTTTTACAAAAACTAACTTTTTCAACTTAATTTTTGAAAATGTTCCGGAAATACTGCGTCCTTTAAACATATATCAAATTAAAGCTTATTTTATGTACTATAAAATGAAAAAAAAAATTTGTCCCGACGACCTATCTTCTATGCGCAAATGGCTACCGTATTCAAAAATATACTATTTTTGTATGATAATTATGGGTTTTTATTAAAATTCTGGGTTTTGTATTTTATTTTATTTTAAAATATCTTATTAGGGGAATAAACTGACTTTTATGAATATTATAATATTATAATTTCATTGACATAGAATAAAGTTCATAAGACATATGAAATTATACTTATTAAAAATTTTTTACTTTTTTAAAGTCGAAAAAGTAATTTTTAAATTTGAGTTAGCTTAAATAGCCAATTTTATCTTTCATCAGAAGCAACGAACAGTTGCCAAATGGGTAACACCTTTACCTGTCACGCTTGGGTTACAAGGCTCAAATCCGTCTGAGGCTTTTAATATTTTGCATTTTTTTTTTGAGTTAGAATAGAATTTTCAAATTATTTGATATTTATCTCATTTAGATTCAATAATTTCAATAAATATAAAGGATCTTATCACTATAGTCTCCCCTCGTGAGAAGAAATTTATATTCATGTTAATATTATTTTACTATGTGGTTCTTTTTGTGGCTACGATTTATTTTGCCAACCCTCACTAGACCTACTATTTTCAAGGATACGTCAAATGATTCATTTAAGTTTATGATATTTAAGTTAATGATTATTTTAAATTATTACTCTTAAAAATCAAAAANTTTAAGTTATTACTCTTAAAAATCAAAAAAATATTCCTTATTCAAATAAAAAGTAGCTTAACCAGCTTTTTCCATACAAACAATTAAAATCATTAATTTTTAATATTCTTAAAGTATTTATTGTCGAATTAGAATTTGATATGATAAAAGTATTCAACTACAAAAGTAAATAATTTTACTTTATAATTTATTAATTTTTTAACTCTATTTGTGTGTGCTACTACCAGTCTATAATATGCCAAATTTTTTTGTAATATGTTGCTATATAAATCATAAATTTAAAACAAAAATGATTTTTAGTTTCACCTGAATTTAACGATGGATTTTTACAATTATAATTATTTTTTATAATACAGTCAATTGAGTAAATCTTTTTAACTACTTTGTTTTAATTGGTTCATTTAGTTTAAGTAAATTATTAAAATTAATTAAGTTCTGAATATTTCAATTGCAGAATTTTTTTAAACACCAAAAGTTATTAGGATATGATTACTATTCTTTCTATTTCAGTTATCTATTACGATAAAAATGTAAAAAAATCGAATTTTTCTGACAAATGTACTGTAATTAGTAATTATAAAATTTCCAGATTGCATATTAATCTTAAAAATTTCATTTTTTTCAATTTAATAATGTCAATTTCAAACTTGCAAGTTGAACTATAAGTTATGGTAACAAATTCATTTTTTAGCTTCGATGCGAAGCTGAGAAGGTATTTTTCATTAAAACTTTCACTTTAAAAGACAATAAAAAATAGGTTCAAAATGATTACCTTTAACATATTAAAAATCAAAATCAGTATTAATTTAATACAATTTTTTTTGTTCTTAATTATTTTTTTTTATATGTAAATACTTATTTTTTAATAATAAATAATAATATTAAAACTTAGAAGTAATAGAAAAAGT